AATACGATGACATAAAAAATTTGGCGATTTTATGTTGCAAAATGCCATTACGCGCGAAAACGCGCATGCGCGTGTGCGAGTTTTTTTGCGAAATGCTTAAAATGGCCTGAAACGTATGCAAAATAAATTTGAAACGATTTTGAGCATTTTTATTTTTTGCGCGTGCGCTGACGCCCGCACGTACGACCTGAAATTGACCGGACGGATATTGACCTTAATCATGATAAATATGAATGAAAAATGCCTTTCCGTTATGAAGATATGATCATGAGTAAAAAGTACCAAAAAAAACACAAAATGGCGCCTGGATGACGTCATGAAGATTTGATGACCTTGAAAATGTTACTCTGACGTCTCATGACAATGACCTATGACTGTGCCAAAATTGAACGAAATTGATTGAACCGATCTTGAGTTACCCTGTTAACAAAAAAGTGGGAACAATAAATAAAAATAAAGAATAAATAAATAAATAAAGAAAGAAAATTCTGACGAAAACAGTAGGTGATCTGTCGAAAACGACAGACCACCTAATAATTATAAATTCCAACCTCATGTCAGGCAATATAAAACATGTTTTTTCAGTCAATATTTTCAGCAATTTTTTCGTTATTTTGCTGACCAAAACAATTATATGATTTAAAAAATTAGAATTGCTTTTGAAATGCATTTGCATTACTAGTAGGGGCCTACTCGGGATTTAGCTTGAAGTGTGAACATGTAAAGCTATAAGGGAAAACCCCTTCTTCATCCCGAGTTGATGTTAAAGACACATGAGACACATGATTTGACGGCAGTATCAAGACGCTCCGCATCCTTCAATCAGCAATGACAAACGGATCAAAAGGTTTACGTCTACAAGCCATGATTGCATCTCAACTCTTCTGCTCTGCTCACAGAAAGTCAGCATGACATTTATAGAATGCTGAGGAGCAGTGGTGGGTAGCGAAGAGCCCAGAAATAGCCAGGTCTATTATTATCAAAGTCCCCCCCCCCGCACCAGAATACATGGTGGCTATCTCGGGGAGCGGTAGTCTATGCTGTGTCAAGGGCAGACCCCATACTTCCTCCTTATTCATTCCTCATCTGATGTATAGGATAAAGGGGTAGAGGGATTCATGTAGGGCTTATAGGCTTGCAGGTGTCAGAATCTAACTTTAAAATCTATTTTTTATATCATATATACATGACTGTCACAAAATTAAATGGTTTAAAAAAACAACTCTATGTGTAAACAATGCAACTTAAATATATAGCAGTGCCAATGTGTTGTTGACATTTTGATATGTATCATTAGAGGAAGTATTGTTGTATAGTGGTTCATTCAAGGTTTGAGGGCTCGAATCCCAGCCTGGCACTAACATCTTTTGGCAATTGTATCCTAATACCGATGGGATAGGATGTGAATTTGTCAAATGTTCTACATCTAGTAAAGATGATCACGGATGAAAGGGATGATTCAACATTTGCTCCGGACTATATTTTATCAAACATGAAGGGTAGATAGGTTTGCCGTTTGGGTTTAGGTTAGGGTTAAGTGTTGGGTATATTTGCGTTCTTTTTATAGTCCCGATGAACATAGAGTTCAGTCAGTATACAAGTAAAGGACATTGGCTGGGAGCGATTGTTGCTTGAGCGTGTGTTGTGAAATTTAAAAAAAGGGTATGATTTTGAAGACTACTGGAAAGCATCCCCAGCGAGGAGGATGATGATGGTTATGTGTATGGTGTGCATATGACTTTTAAAGCCCCATTTATGCAGGAGAGAAGTAAAACAGGGGGAAAAGCAAAGGAAGCAGAAGAGAGATATTCAATATGAATATCCCAAGCGCTTGCAAGAATCTTCTCTATACACATTTAGGCATACAGAGAATGTAGCCAAGTTGATCAAAGAAAGGGAATCCATGCTGAAAAATATGTCTTTGTTGTCATTTTCATGGTTTTCTAAGTTTAGGTGTGTCTCTGGCTGCTTATTGTTTAAGAAGGCGGGGTTGTGACAAGTTCCCAAAAGACCCCATTCCGTATGTGTATTGAAATTATAAACTATTGTCTGCTTAGTGTTAGAAGGGAGTTGACTTTGTATTGTAGTATGTGACTTAAATGACATTCTGGCACTGAATAGATGCAACACAAGAGAGTATACATGCATACTTTGTTATGGTTTGAACGGTGGAGGGTAAATAGAAACATGAATTGTAGAATTGAAAAGCAAATAAACATTGACATTGAGCAAAATCATTGAAATATGAAACATGAGAGGTGTACATGTAGCTAAGGTGAGCTAAAAAAACACAGAGTAGAATAACTAACAAAATTGAACTTTTGAAAAAATGGACAGTATTCTTATATGTCACACCCTTATTCAAATATTAAAAAGTTCTTATGAATAAGAAATATTTTTGCAGTAAACCAAGTCTCTGGCATCTTTCAAAATTTGACCTTACATGAAAAGATATGAAACAAAGTGAAATTGAGTCTACCGAGGCCACTTCGACATGAAATCAATACAATATTTGCTTCTCCTTGTTTTCAAACTGCTTATTTCGGTTCCTCTTCTTCAGTTTTTTTAAAATAAATTTAATTTTGTTTAGTTTTTGTTTTTCAGAGTATATGTAGCTCCCAATATTTGATATAAAAATAAACTTGCCTCAAGTTTTTTTGTGGATATTCCTATATCTTTATAATCTGAGCCCTCCTTGAGCTTTCAAAGTTTTTTTTTGCCACATATTTTTAACAGCTTCTCCACTTTCCCTCATCATTGCTCAGGGTTTAGATTTCAACCAGGCTCTACCATTAGATCATCAAAGTGTAATACTAACCGGTATGTGTGGAAGATGTGAATTTTAATATAACAAACAGGACATAAAATTAAATGTATGGTACTATGTAAGCTATCCCATTCATTCTTGTGTAATGCCTCACTCACACCTGGTGCTGACTTTTGCATGAACCCGGGAGTCCGTCGTCTCGTCAGGCGTAACTCAGGAAGGGCTCACGGGAAGGGGGAATGTTATCACATGACTACATCAGTCTAATTCTGTAGAAGGGGAATTCCGTATATGTGTCACATATGACAATGGACAAGCCTGTTGATTTTACATGATGAAAAATATTATGTGGTAGTGACATGTAGATCTTTGTAGCGAAACCAGAGACAGTGGTTATAATTTATGATTTTTCCATTCATGATTTTTTCCATGGATAAAACAAAATATGAAAATATATATCTCTTATGTGTATATCTTACGGGAATCAATTCACAGAATCACTCATCTTACAAAATGTCTCTCAGACCCCATAATACATGTATATGCATTGGTTTTCACCGGCTTGGCCTGGTTGTATTACATATTAGTGGAACGTTTGTGAAGCATAGCATGTGTCCCCCATCAGTGAAAACACACTGCTATGCCATTCTCTCGTTGTCTTTCCATCCTAAATTCGGTGTTCTCAAGTGGCATTGTGGGTGTGTTGCCATGGAAACAGTGGGAGTCGGGGCTCTGTCACAAGCCTTCAACAGGCACCCATCTGAATGTTAAAAATGCTACTTATTAGATGCTTGGCTACAACCTGTTGATTGATTCTCTCTCTCTCTCTCTCTCTCTCTATCTCTCTCTATCTCTCTTCCTTCATCCTGTCTGTTTATTTCCCTGCCCACCCTCTCTCTCTCTCTCTCTCTCCCTCTCTCCATCCACTCTGTCTATCTCCCTCTCTCTCTCTCTCCGTCCACTCTGTCTATCTCTCTCCCTCTCTATCTATCTCTATATCTCTCCATCAGTCCATCCACTCTGTCTATCTCCCTCTCTCTCTCTCTCTCTCCGTCCACTCTGTCTATCTCTCTCCCTCTCTATCTATCTCTATATCTCTCCATCAGTCCATCCACTCTGTTTATCTCTCTCTCTATCTCTCACTCTCTCTTCCTTTATCCTGTATGTTTATCTCCCTGCCCCCCCCACCCCCTCTCTCTCTCTCTCTCTCTCTCTCTCACTCTCTCTTTCTTTCTCTCTCCATCTTTCTCTCTCTGCAATCTCAGCTTTAGTTATTCTTCACACCTTGGCATGTATTTCCAGACTCTCACTCTCCTTTTCATTCCAAGTGACCTTTTGTATTTGAGAAAGAAAAATTCCAAATTTGATGAAGTTTAATATAGGCCCTTACATGTAACATCAATCTCTTCTTTCCAAGAAATTGGTGTGACTTTAATAAATGGGAACGAAACTTGGCAAAATTCATCATTGGATTATTGTGAAGAGGAATGATCTGGGTTGATGCATAATATATGACCTCATTTCCAAGTCGCTTCTATCACCTCCTCAGATTAGGGTTTTCCCCTTTATTATTTTGCCACCTGGAGCTAGCATCACGCTGCATTATGTTTCGAGTTCACCTGCAAATTCATTTATCTCTATGATGTAGAGTTTTCAGCTGGTATATAAAGGTCTAATGTCAAAGGTCATTAGGTTGTGTGTGAGAGACGGAAATGTTACAATGTATATTTTACTAATATTTTGTCAGAAGTTCATAGTTTCCCAAATCATCAGATTGAATTATTAAGTTTAACACTTTATATGTTTTCATTTTTAGATACAAAGAGAGAGGGAGATGAAGGGAAAAAAGAAGATATTAAAAAAAATAAAATGTGTAGATTTGCACGGAAGTTGAATATGTTGAAAATTTGTAATTTACATGTATTAAGTATTAAAAAAGCTGCACAGTTTACTTTTGCATAACATCCTTCATGAGCTATTATTATCATTGAAGGACTAATCATGACGAGGTTAAGATGAAATTATAATAATAGCAACATTAACATGGTTGTTATAAACATTAAGTTTGTAAAACATGTAGGTTATGAACTTGTTTTGTAACCAAGAGTGCACCGCCACGTTCCCCTAATTACAAGTCAACTTCTAAATTTAAAACCACGACCTAAACTTATCGGACTGTCGTGTCATCCACACTATTAACTTTTAATTTATGTCTTTTTTCTTTCTTTCTCAGAACGAACTCTGACTCGGCGCTTCATACCAGTGCAATGGTTCAAGATGTTTTCTCTGGACCCGCATCCGTTCCCCATAGGAGAGGTAAGATGCTATGTCAGGCAAAACACTGGGAGTTATTAATGTTCATTTCAAAGATTACTGGCCAACTAATTTCAAAGGAGACAACACATCCACTGTGACAGAACTGTGTTAAAATATATGGGGTTTTTTTTTCTTTTTTTACTGAAGCTTGTTTTCTTTCTTTCTTATGTATTTGTTTACAGAAAATTTAGATTTTCTTTCATATTTCCCACTTTCCAACAAAATTGTGCCTAAAAATGATCATGAAGTGACCGGTTTTACCATACTCATTTTCCCCAATAGACTGTAGCGTTATAAAAACCGTTAGGAAAACGAAAAATGAAATTTCGATTTCCAATCATAAATATCTTGATAATCAGACAGGTGATCGGCTTCTAAAAGTCATAGAATTCCTGACTGACCTAAAGGTTTATAATAATGATTGCAGCATAAACTAAATCCAGGATTTTGTTTCTGAATTTTAGGCATTATTACAGAGTCACCTTAAACACAAAAAATAGATAAAAAGCAAATGCCAGTAATTAGATAAGCTAGCAAACAGTTGTTCCTCAAAACCTAAGTTTATGCATTAAAAGATATGAACATATAGATGAGCTGAAAACATAAATGGCAGACAGTCAACACTTTGCTCATAGTTCAAAAGTTGTGATCAAATATTTGAATATTATTCAGCCAGGGTACTATCAAGCCCTTATTTGATTAATTATCCAGGGTAGCAGGTCATCATCAAGTCTGAAGTCTAAAACAAAAATGATTGTTTGAATACTGCATTATAGTCTCAAAGCATGATGTTTGAAACCTACACTTGAATTCTTGTGCTGTAGATTCGATTCATTATGAATTTATTTTATTAGGCAAGTACTGTAGGAAGTCTTGCTAATGAATGTCTTGTTTCTTTTGTTCCATGCTTGATATCTATTAGAATTCCTGACTTTAACCCAAAACCTTACACTATCCCTAACTCTAAACCTAACCTAAGATCCTATTGCAATGCAGACCCTTAAATGCTGTCACCCTCACCTTTGACTTGGTCCTGAAGAAATTCCCTGATCAACAAAGAAATTAATAAATGAAAGCTTTAGAGTGTATGCAATTCAAAGATTTAAGAAATTATCCTTTCAGATTTCAAATTCTTTTGCCATGTTCTATTTGATCACCTCTTGTATAATGAATGGTAACAGGGTTTTGTAAAGAGATTTAAACTGGTTAAATTTCTTCCTGTTTCTTTCCTGCTGTCCTTCTATCTCTCTTTCTTTCCCTCTCTCTCTCTCTCTCTCTTTCTTTCCCTCTCTCTCTCTCTCTCTTTCCTTCTATCTCTTCCCTTCTCTCTCTCTTTCTCCCCTCTTTCTCCCTCTCTCTCCTCTTTTTTCTTCCCCTCCCCTCATCTCTCCCCTCTCGCTTTCCTTCCCCCATTTTGTCTCTAAGTTTATATTGACATATCTTTTGTTTCTCTTTTCTCAGATACGATAGATAACATGGGTGATAGATTGAAGCCTGTTCACTGGGACCCCAAGAAGGTAAGTCGTATACTGTCACACCTGGGGGGGGGGGGGTTTTCACAAGGATCCTAAGTTGGACTCAAAAATTATGGAGAGCCATTTGTAGCTTTATAATAACATATAATAATAATAATAATAATAATAGCCTAACAGTCCACTCCAAATTTTATTATACCGAAACGGCAATTCTTTTTGCCCTATTGATCGTGAGCTCGGCAGCCACTGAGCAGCACCAGATCGACGTTGCTCTATCCCTTATTGTTGAACGCCAAACAAGGTAGCAACAACTCCCATCTTTTAACGTCTTTTGGTATGACGCGGCCGGGGTTCGAAGCCACGACCTCCTGGTTGTGTGGCGGACGCTCTACTGACTGAGCCAACACTCCGGTACAAAAGCGAAAATTCAAGTATTTTAGACTTTTTAGTACTCAAGACTTTTTATAAATTCCACATCAAGAACATGAAATCTCCTTGATCATAGAAAATATGAATGATTTGAATCAACATTTTATGCCTTTTAAAATAACTTTTACAAAATATTTTCATAAATGCTAACAGCTTTCCATAAATGTTAAGTCTAACTTAGAGATAAGTTCCACTTAGGATCTTTGTGAAACATCCCCTGCTACAGAAACCACCTGTTAAAAGAAACCTGTGTATAATGACCACCTGCTTGTATAGAATGCATTATGTGTGTCCTTTTAGTGGTCTTTTTATACAGGATTCACTGTAATGGATATATCACAAGGAATCTCCTCTTCTGTTATTCTGAACATTTTATATCAGCTTGTCTTTGATTATCTCATATGGCCTCTATCTTTTTAAACATGTTCAAGTAGTTCTAATTCATGTGACAAGTGTCCAGTAGTGTCTTCTGCATTGTTTGTTCAATATAACTAGAACTGTATCAAGATATCTAACTTCACAATGTATTAACCCATGTTGAATTCCAAGAAGAAAGAAAGAGTTTTCTTTGTCCAAAAATATGCTCAAGATCAACATTTTGGGATGTTTTAACTGCGGGTTCAAACAATTTAAAGAAACTACGTTGTTTAGACACCCCTAGCTGTGTCCTCGTTCTATCCCTCCAGTCTGTTTTCCTCTTCTGTTATAATTGGATTAAACAGTGTATGCTGATAGTCCAGTACTATCCAAATACAATTGTAAGGAGCAACCTCTGCACAATGAACTGTTGATTAAATAGAAAAAAGCTTGTACATTGGAAAGATCTATGAGCTATTTTCATTTTGGAGATGGCATGAAGTATTTGCTTGATCTATCTCACAAAGGGAAATCCTGGTCTTGGTTTTGGTTATGAATATTCAATCAGATAGAGATCACCCTGGAGAAGAAGAATTATCCCACTCCCTTATCTTCTTGAAGGTGATGGTAGGAAACAGAGATAAACGACGAGAGTTCATGCCAAAACAAGGACGCGTTAAAAGCAAGAATATATCTAGCCGGCAATGTTTTAACTTGACGGAATAGTTGCCTGTAGAGGGGATTATTTGTAGAATCTTCCATTTTTCTTCCTGATAATCACTTCAGATTTGTTATGCAGGCTGTAAATTTATTGTATGACAGTAATTTAAACACAAAATTACTATGCTGTAGTTGTTACTGTATCTTCTTTTCTCTCTTTAATTTTCATTTATATTTTCAGTTTTTTTGTCTATCAAATTTTATCCTGTATATATAAGTTTTAAAATACTTGTATTACTTGTGTGTTTGTATTTAATCTACTGAGTACAAGAGTAGCGTACATGTAAATAAGAGAATTCTTTTTATTTGAGATAACACCCCTTTTCATTCTTAATATACAATGTCTGTTATTCATAAGGCAGACTAAGTTAAACCTGGTTTATGGAACCAAAATTCTCAACAAATTTATTCCACATTAATCACTGTAATTCTGTAACAAAAATACATGAATACAATGAATAAGAGTGCTTTTATGAATTAAAACCAATAAGATCATATTCTTCATCTTCATGTGTTATATTATTATTTGTTTGTGCTGTGAAGCCAACACACAACCAAAAATGGTGGCAGTGGTGGGATTTCTTTTCACATTTCTGATCATAATTTTTTTTCAATCAATATCGTGTCATTCTATGCATTTTGTTTTAATTTCTATAATTGGAAAAATTACCTTATGTTTGAAAATCTCCTTTGTCACCTTACACATGGAGTCTCTTTTATGTTATTTGTTGACAATCGTTATTCAATCTCCTGTAAGTCTTTCCTCCTTGAGTGGAGTTTATCATCTTCTGCTTATAGAATCTACAAAGAACTATTTGAATAAAGAATATGAACGCAGATCCTCCAATATTCTCCATGTTTGTCTTTTCTTACCCAGGGTCATCACCAGCTTCAGTCCAGGCCCAGATCATGTGAGGTACCTGGAATCAAGTAAGTCAACACCTGATTTTCCAGGCATTTCCAGGCCAATTTGCTCAGGTTTCAGGAGTAATGCTTTACTGTGCATACCTTGATGGAAAGTCAGATCAATCAACTACTCTCATTGCTTCCTAGAAGTTGAGAGAATTCTTTGGGGATTATGATACAGACTGCATGCAGGTCTATTAAAGCATAAGGATAAATATTCCATTATTTGGCTCAAATTCTGCAATTTTATCCATCTTAGCCTGATTGATTGGTATATGTGTGTTTTTAATTGTCATGCAACTTACACAAACTCAAAAGCTACACGCAGAGTAAAACTGTATGCCCTGCTTAATGTATGCAGTCATTGTAGTGGTCATAAACTTTTACCTGTATCAAGCAGGTGCATACACACACACCTTGTGTTAGACTTCAATGTATCCTTACGTCTGTTAAAAGGAGTGAAGTATCAGTCAGTCAGTCTAGTAGTAGACTTGGTTTGATACTTGATTGGAGATATGAAAGTCATATCTTCAAGCATTAACATGGCACTTAGCCTAAGCATTATAGCTACATTGCTTATAGTCTATACATGTGTAAACATTGATAATCAGTCAAATGAAGACGTGATAGGTATTGCTATTTGATTGTCTGACAATTTATTAAAAAATCCTTACAAGGATTATAAGTGTAATTGAATCTAGTTAATCTGATAAATATTTATTAATGATTAGAAAAGCACTTCATTGTAAAACTACCTGTTAATTGTGGTGTCAATGATGTAATTGATGTTTGTTTTATTTTTGATTTGCAGTATTTGTCCATCGGAGCAGCCATCGGATGCAATCAACTCCATCCCGATCTCAAGTAGCACCGGGTCGCTACCGGACCTCACCAACCTCCACATCCCCTCTCCGCTCCCAACGCCCTTAGATCCTGAAGACCAGACATACAATCACAGCGGTAGCGCCACAAACCTCTCGCAAAGCATGCCATCAGGAGGTCACCTGAGCATTGTGGGTAACCACACGTTACCACAGGTGAGTGTTTCTGTGGGGTCCGTCTCCTTCCTGGGGGATGTTTCACAAAGACTAAGATCGACTTTAAGTTGGACTTAATTATGGCAGGCCATTCGTGCCACTGGTTGCTCTCACCATTGGTCTCTCAATTATGATCTTTAGATAATATTTTTTCCTTAAATAATAAACTATCAAAAAAGGTAAATTCTGTAGATTTGTGACCATGATTTGTGCTTTCCTTGAGAAACCAATGCCAGTAAATGGTGAGAGCAAACAGTGGCATGAACAGCCTGCTAAAGTTAACTCCAACTTAAAGTTGATCTTAGTCTTTGTGAAACACTCCTCTCTTCATGAGAGGCTGACCTTGCCGTGACAACCTTTACCATTCGTGCCAAGATTTGATGGCATTTGTGGTATACATGAATCATACACAAGCTGTCCGTTAGATATGCCATTTGTTCTACACTTACTCTTTGTGTGAACAGGAGTTAAAGTTGCAGATGTTATTCATAGCTTTAATGGTTTCTTCCAGTGTTAAAGGTAATTAAAGGCATTTTGGAATTATAAAGCACCATTAGATTTGAAATGTTACGTTTATCGTTATTTAACATCTTTAAGTTAAATTTGCAGTGGCGTAATTGTGAATAAATGACCAATTTATAGAATAACTTGTCAATGAATAGACAGATAGGGTAAGAGAATACATCTGGCAGGTTAAAGATAAAGACCAGTTATGGTCATGCGATTGTATTGTGAAAGAAACGTTTTGGAATCGATCAGAAAAGGCTGATCATCTAGCATATAAGTATATAAGTATTGGTGTTTACTGCAAGGTTCTGGAATCATCAAAATGTTAAGAAATTTAGCCCAGTCTTGGTAAAGTTACAAGCACTGTACACAGAAAGATGTATATGGGACTACGTGACGCGAAATCTATCAGGTCCAAATAGATACAATAATTTACCAAATATATCAATTTGTAGGCAATTTCTCAGGAAAATTTGTATCATCACATATTAGTCAAAACATATTCTTTCATATGATTGTAATAAGAGCTTCCATTTCATTTTTTGAGAGGGGGGCGTTTCCAAAACAGGTCTTTACCTTTAATGAGCCTTATTCTTGCACCTTGTATACCAGGTGACGACGCACAGTCCACAGGTTAGCCCTCAAATGAGCCCCCAGAACCAGAGGCGGCAAGTCATGAGCAATCCCGGTAGCCCCGTCGTCCTCAATCAAAGGAGACATTTATCCCCTAGTCCACAGGTAGGTCGGTCGGTCTCACTAACACTAAAACATTGTTATAACATCTCACTATCAACTGCCCCCTCCTTCCCCCTCCCCAAATAAAATAATAATCATAATGAATAAATAACTAAAATTAAAATTAGTTGAATAAATAAAAATTAAAGAATAAATATAAATAAATAAATAATAAATAAATGAAATAAAAAGAAAGAAAGAAAACACTAGCAATAGAGGACAAGTTTACACATAAATGTATGCCAAGTGAAGTAAAAAAAAAAAAAAAAAGAAAAAAGAAAAAGGAGCTACATTCAACAATTGCACCGTAAGCATGCTAACATATCTGTGTGGCATTTTAGGCAGCTTACTGCATCGGATGTGACCATGGCTTAAACCTCTACGCCCTTTCTACAGGGATATAGAAATAATGATCATACTTAATATTTCTAATGAAGTGTTGCAATAAAAACAATGAATGTCATGAATGAAAATGCTTACAGTATGTGGAAGTTAACCTGTGTAATAGCAATGGTTTATTCTGTGAAACAAATACAATATGCATACCACTAAAATGTGTGTAGTAGTTGATAATAAACAGAGAGAGGTTTGATTGATTGTATATTAACAGGGTATCCCATTAGACCAGACCCCCAGCATAGTTGTGGATCATCATCAAGAGCAATCCAATCATCATACGCAGCAACAAGTTGCACAGGTAGCCCAACAGGTAGCGCAGCAACAGCAGCAACAGCAACAACAACAGCAGCAGCAGCAGCAACAACAGCAGCAGCAGCAATCACAACAACAGCAAATGGCAAACCAAGGTAATATATTCCATCAACAACAGCAGCAGCAACAGCAGCAGCAACAACAGCAGCAACAACAGCAGCAACAACAACAACACCATCATTCAAATCCGGCGAGTCCACAGCACAACGTTCCTCCCAGCCTCACGTTAGACATGTCACAAATGGTAAGTCACTAATTCTGACAATTATTTCATGGAATAGATTGAAGAATATAATACTATAAACAAAGTTTAAAGCCCAACTGCACTAGTTTGGCCAGGAGGGATTTGACCTCCCTGCATGGTCACTGACAGGTGGTTATCTCATCAAATCAACTCTCAATTAACATAAGAAAAAGGGAATAGTGGTGGACCAATGGTCAACGATTAGTCATTGTTTGCTATATAGAGGGTGCAAGTAGCTATAAGTAGTGCAGTGGGGCTTTGACATGACCCAAAGATTTTTGAAGTATCAGCCTAAGGCGATTTCAATAGCCTTGTGCATCACCTATTGAAATCTGCAAACATTACATAATCTGAACATGATTTCTGTAGGCGATGTGATAGGAGTTGAGTTGAGTTGATTCTTTGAATGTCTTTACAACCTTGTTTATTCAATGTATAAACAATAGGAAACCAAATACAGCTTTGTTTAGGTAGAGTTCTTATTGGAAAGAACAAACAACAGAAAAAAGAAAATAATTCTTAAAGCTCTCAAAGAGAGAGCAAGGCAGTACAATTTTCAGGTTTTAGGTTCTTTCCACAAACAATACTATATTTGTAAATTACCAGTGTTTGATCTTTGAGGTTGATGTTGAATAGAAATATTATCACAAGTGCATCTTGTGTGTTCTATATGGGGAACACTATTGAATATCAAGTTTATTACTGAAGTAAATATGAAAGTAAGCTAAGTAATTGCCAGTCGAGTGGGTTGTGGTTTTGGTTTTGAGTATGCCCGTTATTTGTTTCTTTAAAGCACAACAGGATAATTAAAGTGATAGGTAATTATAGAAAACAGGAAACACATGGTACTGACTTTCATTTTTGATATAAATTTGTTACTAAGAACCTGTATACCGGTAGTCCAGTGGCTATTTTCAGTTTGGAAAAAACAGGATATAAACCCCTTGCCAAGTGTATTTAATAAGATAATATTTGGTCATTCATTGATAGAAATAATTTTAAGGTTCATATGAATATGCTGATGACTTGGTATTTGCACCTAGTATGCTGAATTTTTTAAATAATAATTTCAGATATTCTTGGGGAATTGATGTGTTTTTCTAGCATTTAACTAAGACAAATCTAGGTTAAAAGTTCATTTCCTGTATGTTATTAATTTTCACAACGCATTCATTTCTTATTTTGGGAGTTGCTTAGTTATCCCTTCTTTCCAATTTGAAATTTTTCTCACATTGTATTTTGTTTTTCACACAAATTGTTTCAGTTATTCTCATGAATATGTTTAAAGATAAACTTGAGTACTGGTAATGCGATTGCATTGTGAAAGAAAAGGTGTGGAATAGATCAGAAAAGTTGATCATATAGCATGTAAGTAATGGTGTGTAATGCAAGGTTCTAGAGTCATCAAAATCATCATAAATTTGGCAGAGTCTTGGTAAAGTAACAATCACTTACACAGATAGATGTATATGGGACAACACACATGGTGTCGGGGCTAGTACTACCCTGATTTCCTTATCTTTCTATGCTCATTACTCAGCCAGTATACATTTTCTTCCAAAATTGTTTGGCACATGACATTTATTTGTAATCTTGAATATTCAGTATAAGTTTCGTATAAGTTTCAGTATAAGTTTCATAAGATTCTGTGAGAATTCATTTTCTTTTTTTACCAGAACTCAAGTTTATCTTTAATTGTCAAATATTTCTATGGTATAACATGTAGCATTATCCCCAACTGATGAAATTTTCCTGTATCATTTCTATGGTATTTATAATTGTCCTTTCGTTAATACTCCTCCTCCCTCTTCCACATCCAGGCTGTATTACAGGCTCAGATGCAGCATTACAGGGACAAAGGACAACAGATGATGGGTAACACTGTCTCCTGCTCCTCCCCGACCTCACCTGTCTCCAATCCTAACAATTCCCCTCTGCCCTCTCCTGGTGGATCCATGCCAGTAGGTTCCTGTTCTCCAGGCTCCACCTCTCCGGTCCCAGCCAACATGGGTCTGTTCAGTGACGCCTATTACCAGCAGCAGCAGACTAATGCTCTACAGTACAAGTTTGAGCAGTTCAACATGATGCAGAACTCAGAACAGAAGCAGAGGACGACGTCCACACCCACGTCACCGACGTTTGTCCTTTCCAATGAACATGACATGCAATCGGGTTTGGTGAGTATAATTATGTAAACGACTTATGAACTGGTTTAATCTGAAAGGCTTTCTCTGATGTAAAAAAGAACAACACACCAACTCAAAATTAATGATGTACTCATTATGCGAGTCCACTTTTTGTTATGTTTTTTTTTACAAACAGGGGAGTTATCTCTCACATACAGGTCTCTGTTCTTCACACACATCTACCTCCTTTACTCCTGAACTGGTAGCCTGACACTTTGCTTGCCCACCAATAGGGTCATTGGTACACGATGATGTCATGTTAGAATGCCCTATACTAGTTAGGAAAATGAAGACAAGTGTTTTGTAGCAGCAGGATATAAAATCACTCCATGAATATCTATAATAATAATAGGGTTATTGTTGGTTTGCATCATTATTGCCGCGATTTCAATATAGTTTCGTGAATAGATTTACGAAACCTGAGCTTAGAATTAGTAAAAGTATTACTAATGTCTACGTTTTTAAACGACTGTCTGATTTTCTTGTGAAAATTTTACTTTGAAAAATGATTATCGAAATTCATGGTAAGAAATAATCACAATCTAGGGTCTATTATGTTACAGTTCTTGCATCAAATCAATGCATGAAAAATTAGTTATTGAACTAGAAAAATGTTTTTTTTTTATAGGCAATTATGAAGTAGGAAGCCTGAAACCTTAGCCTACTAAACAAATCTCAACAAACTGTAGGCCTATCCTTTTATGAATTAATGAAAAAGTAGCCCCAGAAAAAAGAGCCCCCGAAAGTTGAAAAAGTAGCCCCCGAAAATTTCCCCAAAATTTGAAATGGAGCCCACGAAATGAAAAACTTAATTTTTTGCCTGCGCCCCTTCTAGAATCCCGCGGGTCCTGAGTTGAGTGTATATATAATATAGGCGTGGGGTCCACGGGTTTCAAGAGGCCATAAACCCCCAAAAGCTCGATGGTTACGTTCTTCGAGGTTGGGGGGGGGGAGAGAGATCAGATCGCAGCGAGTTGAGTGTATATATAATATAGGCGTGGGATCCACGGGTTTCAAGGGGCCATAAACCCCCGAAAGCTCAAGGGTTTTAGGCGTTTAATTAGGGTCAGATGAGCATATTTTTAATACTTTATTTGTGACACCTGCGGGTCACGAATTGGCGTGGGGTCAATACGTAGAGTTGCGTAGTGTTGCGTACCAACTACGCTGGCCTACGTTACTATATGCTGAGGGGCGGAAAGGGGTACGCAAGATGAACGAAAACAATTCAACATGTTTAATTTTTTTCGCGTACTTTCGGCGTAGAAACTTGACGCAGAAAGTACGCCTTTTTACGCAACACTACGCTACATGACTACGCAACAGTACGCTACCCTACGCCAGATCGACAAAGCAGTTAAAGCTTTCCACACAGTAAGCAACCATAAGCAAACCTGTACGCCAGCCTACGCATAACCTATACGCAGGGACTATTTTCCCATTAATACGCAGCCTAATTTCTGCGTAGTCGGTACGTCACACTACGGAACTCTACGCAGTTCCAGTGGCTTAAAGAATAACTACTGGTACAGTTGGATCGTTTTTTTTTTTTATATAAGGCCAAATTAAAAAAAAAACATGTTTAGCATCCTGTTTTTTTGAAAAATGGGAAGGAGGAGGCCCTTTTTTTTTTTTCCTCAAAATGGCCGCTCCGTTACATTTTCCCTGACATTCGAGTTATTTTTCAAGATGGCGGCCGACAATTTTTTTTTTTTCTTTTTTAAAACCAGAAATACATTTTAGCAGTGCTTTTCATGTTTTTTTTTCTTTCAAAAAAAAAAAAAAAAAAAAAAAAAAAAAAAAAATAGGAGGCGGCCCCCAAAAAGAAAGCAGGCAGGGACGCTGTTTTTTTTTTTCTTTCAAAAAAAAAAAAAATATTAAAAAAAAAAAAAAAAAAAAAAAAATAGGAGGCGGCCCCCAGAAAAGGAAGCGGGCGGGGACGCTAAACATGTATATTTTTTTAATGGCCTGAATGGCAAATAAAGTTCTTGGTGGTTTTAATTTAGACAGTCTCTATATATCTATTTACACCCCCCGCCCCCCTCTAGAATCCCGCGGATTTCCGCGGGTCCTGCTAGTGACTTATGTTAAAGCCCCACACTGTACAACTTATAGCTACTTGCTTCCTCTATAGGGCAAACAATGCCTAATCAGTGCCAGTTGGTCCCCCATGATCCCCCTTTTCCGTTAATTGAGAGCTGATTTGATGAGATAACCACCTATCAGTGAGCTTGCAGGGTGGTCTAATGCCCCCTGGCGAAACTAGTACAGACGGCCTTAGAAATACAACATATTCAGTTTGAGATTGTGCTTGATGGCAGCGGTCGGATGTGCCATCACATTGAACTGATTCACATTGAACTGATTCACATTGAACTGATTCACATTGAACTGATTCACATCATTTGAATCTTGTTTGATAATCTTGAATGGAAAGTAAAGTGAGTTTGGTAGCAGCGGCAGGATATGAACCCATGCTATCAAATTGACTTACATTGTATGATTGGGTCTAATACAAGATATATCTAGATACATCATTGGAGATGTTCAATATTTTGGAGATATCTAGATTTATCATTAGAGATTGTGGAGTTATGGGTTAAAGAAAAATGAGACAATTGGCTCAAAATCCTAGCATCCTGGAAGACATCTGTGTAGAAGTTGATAGGGTTGCTTAGCCTGTCATTCAACAAACTATTGATTGATACTGAATGTACTAGATTTAAAACTAATGTGTGATTGGAGCTGTGGGATACCAAATAACACCACCATTCAATTATATTGACTGATTTGTAAATGAAATGTCTCTGATCTTCTGTTTCGCAGGGTCTTTCATATGGTGCTGTGTACAGCCACAATCTAGGGGGCAGTCAGGAATTAATTCATCATGGGAGACCGCCCCCTACCTACCAACAAACCCTTATGCAAATCCCTCAACACTCACATCCCAGCAATATTCCAGATATTATATTCACAGGTGAGAAGCATAACCATTAGGTTTCATTATATTGTATTCATTTTGCAAGTCTGCATCGAGAATCCCATAATATTTGAAGTATGATATTCTAATCTGCAGTAGAGCACAGCATTATTGCCAGCGAGAACTTTAGTTAATAAAATGGTAACTCTGTTTCAGAATTAGAATGGTAGCAACAAATAAATTGAGATGATTCTGGATGTCAAAACATGTTGCCTACAGTATAAAGGACAGGGCATTGTTTGGAACTAATCTCACTGTAGCCTGTGTATAATGAGCATCACTAGATAATCTTGATGTTTGAGTTGCACTGACCAGGAAGACTCCATTGCTAGTGGGACTTTTTTCACAGGCATGAGTTAAAACCAGTAACAGGGCCCCATTTACTGGATATGGCTGAATACATATAACAAGCGTTTGGACCGTGAATTTGGTCCAGAGAGATAAAAATAAATATTGATATGACAATGACCCCTGTAAAGAATCTTAGAAGAGCAATAGAACAAATATTTCCATCTTCTTTGCGACCAAATTGACTAAATGTAGAGGCGTCTTTTATTATTTGTTTTTTCTATTTGCTAGGTGCAGGGGAATCACCGCCAAGGCAAGAGTTAGCTCGTGAAATCAGCAACGCCATGGCCAGTATGGACAGTAACTTTGAGCATGATCTCTTGTTTTCAACGGACTCATTGAACGTTGATCCTCTAGACCTAGAGCACCTACAGATGCTCTCGGACAATGACATTGTCGCTGACCAAGCCACGGAAGACTCTTTTCGGCAAGATCATCGGCTCTAGCCAGCCGCGACCCTTGACCCTTCCTCCCTACCCACATGGGATACTGTCTTGCGATTGGTATCACCATGGGGTTGGTGGTGGTGTTTGAGACAAATTCGGGCAGAATCATTGCGAGTGTTCAACTCGCTTGTGTGTGCGTAGAACGACTGCTTCGGCTGTACCGGGCCAGCAGAGTAGTGCCGAGATGCATTCTTTTGGCAGATGGAATGCACAGATTGATTTATTGAGTAACGAGAGCAACGAATGCTGCATAGCGATGGGAGAGTGCTTTTGGCAAAGTGGAAATCTAACTTCATTAAAGATTCCTAGATGCCATATCTGAAGTGTGACTGTCATCCAGGAGAACGAGAACAGTGGATGTGCTTCTGATCAAGCTCTTCACATGGAAGACAACAAGGAAAGAGAAATAAAAAGCTATTGTCCTTTCAGGCTAATATGTTTGTATTTGTCAAGGGGTGTGGAGAAGCTGAGTAAATGCCTGGAGAGTTTCTTAAATTCTTTAGAAATTAGATCACAAACAAAGTTGAGATTACAGTCAGATAGTAAATTGAGCACCATATCCTACAGTATCAATGGATTTTCAGGTAGATGAAATCGTTTCTTGGGTAGGCCATACAGAAAAAAACATTAATAAGTCTCTTCAAATTTTTGTTTATATTGTTGCTCTAAATTTAGGTACCAAGTCAGATTCATCCTACATAAAAAGCAATAATAAATCAACTTTTCTACGAAGCAGAGTTAAAATCGATTCATTGGGTATTGTTGATTCAAACCTTTTTTCTCAGGCTGATAGAAATAATTTTAGATTATCATGTTTTCACCTATATTCTTTTTTTAGCCTCGTTTTTGTGCAAATTTGTAAGGAATTATTCAAATCGGCTGTAATGTATTTGTATGTAGTAATCGATTTCTTCAAATTTTAGGGATCTGACAGAATAAACATTGTTCAATATTTTCTTTAAATTTCAACCCCCAAAGGTATTAACCTAATGTTTCTAAGAGAAAAAAGTTTATGATAAACAACTTTTGGGTCTGACCCTATTGCCTGGAATACTCTCAGATTGTGATAATAGGAAAAGCACCAACAGTGAGAACGGTTCAATAGAAAAGATCTTTCCTCGCCAATTAACCTGCTGACTACTGAATGTTATAGGTCCCATAGGCTTAACACAGGGACCAACAGGTTCCAGTAAGCAAAGGGTTAAGGGCCACCTGCTGGCTGGACCGTTGACAAGATGTGGCATTCTGTTTGAAAGCCTGTGAAGACATTGTTATAGTGTGTACCGTCTGATCAATCTACTCATACTTTGATTAATGTTTGTTTATTGTTTTGTTTATTGTGAGTTTTACACTTGTGTGTAATGGAAGGATGGTTGATAATGTTATCTATTGTGTTAAGAGAAGAGTGCAATTGTACATTCCAGAGGCACAACAAAATAGCTGCGGAAGCAGTATTTCTGTACCTTGCTGCATTTTGAGTTGATTTTATTTGAGCTGCATTTTCGTTATCACTTCTTCAAACTCTTACTAATGTTCCACTACTTACAGCAATGGATTATATTGAGTAATTTTGAACACAACACAAACAAAAGAAGATTATGTGTAGAGAAGCACTTTGAAGAAAAAAAGATATCATAAATTCCATTTACATTTACAGGTTTTTCAGCAGATTTGAGCATAAAGTTTGTACCCAATATGAATATGTTGCATGCATGTATGGAACTATCAAATTTGGCATATGTTTAAGCAATCCAAACATTCTTAGAACCAAAGGATGTTCATCATGCTACTATTAACATGTCCATTGCACTTTCTTTGGAAAGAAGACTTAGGGTACATAAACACATCCCTGCCTGCCTGCCACCACTAAGGCAACGTGGAGAGCACTCTTCACTCTAGACCTGTACAGATCATAGATGCACAAGATTTTGAAGTATGGTTACTCTGGACGATATGAAATCATCCCCAGTTAATCCTCTTTCAATAAAACAAGAAGCCATAGTGCAAAGCATCACAATCGATTAGGACACTTGTGAAGATATTGGTTGTGAAGATTCCTGTAGATCATCAACATCTAAAAGACAAATCTCATAAAATGAAATGGAAGAGTACATAAGAGGGAACCTAAATTTCTATTGTGCATGTAAAAGCTGTAGTTCCTCATCATGCAGTAGAGCCTAAGGTATGTGTTGCCTTAGAGGAAGATCCAAGGTGTTTGGTCATTTCATTTCCAATGCAAGTACAATGCAAAATTGAACAGATTTAACAAAACAATTATCTTTTTCCTTGATGTTAGGTATGAAACAAAATATAATTTGACTCCACAAACTTTTGCAACATGAGTCTCTGGTGAGTTGTTATGGATGGCCAGTTTCATGGCAAGAAACTTTCATGAAATGCAAATGTTTAATGCTGTGTCAACTGAGACTCATTTATTTTGTGGGATGAAACTTTGACAAATCTGAACTGCTCACAAAATTTGCTAATATTTCAGGCACGGGAAAGTTTTGGGTATGACTGTTTCTTTGTCATGTAATCGATAATAATATATGGGTCAAATACCTTAGAGTGGCCCATACCAAATACTGCTCTGGTTTGTACTATGATGATGAATGAAACGAGTGAAATGTTACCATCTAAAGGAAGAAAAAGGTTCATCGATGGGAACAGAATTAGCGGAGATAATGTATTCAGATATAGTAATAATGATAATAATAATAATAATATTTCCTGTTTACCCAGGGTAGCCTCATCAGTATTAATACTGTTCTCCCTGAGGGGCCCTGCAATTATAGTGGACCGGACAAAATTTCTGTGCTTATTCAATGAGCTCTTTGATGTAAGATACAAACATAAGAAACGTATTACATTTACAGCATTAAAGAATGCAGCAGTATACCACTTGATATCTGAATGAGGTGATAATATATGAAGAATCTCCCTGCTCTCAACCCCCTACTCGGCACATCAATGTGTGAAAATAATTCAGAGTTTCAAATCAAACTCAAAGATCTGCCTCTGAGGCTCTTGGCAATTAAATTAATTTTCTGAAGTAGATTATTGGTAATGGTCCAGAAATCCACTTCCTAAGTCAGCGTCGTTAAACCTCATTCACTCATGCCATAAAGATAACCTGCCTAAAAAAATGCCGCTGCAAAATATTTTTAAAAATCGTTTATGTGGAAATGATTGGCGAGTGCGGGTGAAAACACAAAGCTGTATGCAGTAAAGGCCCTTATATGCACTTATCTGTAGATGTTATAAGATACAGAAATAGGAAGTACTCTAGGCTCATGTTTCATTGGCAGCGACACTTTCTAAGTGGTTTACCTTTTCATTTGTGAATGAGTCTTTTGTGTTCTTACTGGTAGGGGGTGTCTTGTGCTTAATGGTTCCATGACGTTCATTCAAAATTGAGCCTGTAAGTATGGATTATTGGTGGAGTACGGAAATACTGTTGGTATTTTGTTCGTTATGTGAAGGTTTCTGGGCTGCTTGTCAAAATAATGCATCCGGTATAATGCTTGTAGGCAGGGCTATGTAACATGACCATTTGCAGTCGACAGTGAGTTGACTGAATAACCATATCCCATCAGTTCTATCTTCATCTGTGACTGCTTACAGCTGAGAGTCACAGCTGTTTACACCTGAGAGTCACAGCTGTTTATTAGCTCTTTCTTACTGGACCCTCAAACGCACATTCACAATTGCACTGTGGAAACTTTGAACGAGTAACATTTTTAGAAATGAATATAGACATTGTCAAAATCACTTTTTTATACTAATTTAAGGCTAACAAGATGTGTATAGATGAATTATGAAAGGTATGATGTGAGATTGACGCTGTGCATCAAGTTTGAATCTAGGAAACTAGATCTTATAGGGTTGTGATAATGCCTTGCCTTTGATTATAGATCTCTACAGGAGATCATTTTAAATGTATGAGATCATGTGGATGAATGCTCTGTAATTGAATTTCATTGTAAAGATGATGGCAATGGTGAATTCCATGCAGTTTGGTTCACCAGCCACAGAGGAGGAGGAGGAAGAAATTGAATTTTGTGTACAGAATTTTATTGTCCTGAATATACACCGCTGGCCCATGACGGGTTTCGGTTCTATGTAACATAGAAAGGTTTACACGCTTGTATAAATGTACAAATCACACAATTGTATATGAATGTTCTCATTGATATTATACTAGTGACCACTTGTAGTCTTATTCTATAATTTTCTTTTTTATCACAAGAGTATGTGTATAATAATTGAAAATTTAAATTGCAGTTTTTTGCATGAAATATCTCAAAGAGAGATTGAGGTGAGGGAGAAGAATGTCTTTGGTGTGGGTTTACTAGGGCTGCTAGCTGTGTGATAGGGGTAACAAGTATTGAATGTCATTTGAGTTTCTGAATACGGTAGAAAGATATGTTTATTTGAGAATGGAGAGAATAGGTAACATAGTCTATAAATCATCAATTCAATCGTGTAAGAATGATTAAATTCACTGGATTTGATTCTTTCCTTACAAATAATCATATACAACTAAAGTTTTCCTTCACAACACTCTAAATACTTTCTTCAAAATGAAATGAAGTCACGGTAACTCTATGCAGCTTGTAAGTTTAAATGATTAGTATGGTATTCAGTGGGACGTTAACTAGTCTTATGAAATACGTTTGAAATTGAGAAATATAATTGAAAGGGACGTCTGTTTTTAGATAGTTTCTTCTTTTCATGCCAATAATGTATTCAAATCTGAAGGTAAAACTATTTTGGTTACAGATCAATTTTCCATTTATACATCACACATTTTCCATGTGGCAAAAATAGTGACTGAAATGGTTCAAGATGAATTTGACACATGTAAGATTTGTGTGATCCAGAAATCAAACTACATTCATTCAGAAACTGAAATATATCATTGAAAGGGAGAAAGGAGAAAAGACAGTTGTATTTCTTTCATCCTCATATTAAGACACAGAATATGTGAGTGTACATATCAATGATTATATACACTTTTTGTAGTTAGATGCCTACCAGATGAGTGTGCCGAAGAAAAAAAAATCATTTATATTTTCGACTATTTCACCTACAAAGGCTTTGATCTCTGTGTCTCTCTCAATGTAAAATGTACATGTATATTATGGTATGTCTAAAAGAACATGTTCCTTTTCTATTATTCAACCAGCATTCCGTTAATTCAATATTTTCCTTCTCTTTTTTTTGTAGGATAAGTTTACTTGTATTTCTTTTTTCACTGAATGTCTTGTTCATGCTGGCATGCAAACTTCTTTTCTAACTTTATTATTTCGGTAGAGAGTGCTTATGAGTTTATGTTCTTTTCCTTCTCAAACATCTTGCGCATTGCTTGTTCGACAAAAACATCTTAGATGCTTCAATTAGAGCCCTAAAGATAAAGAAGTGCCAATTTGTATCTTAAACCCTTCTTAGTAGCATATGACTGAAAGCTACTCTGTAAATGAAGCTTTTTTTTAAATTTTAGATTCTTCAATGATCTGCTGCTCTGCTACCCCCTCGCTTCCCTCTCCCTATGTAGGCCTACCCCAAGGCTAACTATAGAACTCGCCCCTAACCCTAACCCTAATAGCTAATCCTTGACCAGAAAAATAAACCTTTACCCAAACCTAACCTTACCCTAAACTGTGGGTTAAATCATGACCCTGCTTCAAGAAACATAAGCACCTGCAGAGAGCCAGAAGGGCGTTAACTCTGTTTAAAAAGTCTGTGAGTTAATGCCTTTCTGGCACTCCACAGATGAAACAAGGATTTCATGACCCCCCCCCCCTTTCTACAGTACTCCTAACATCACAAACAGAGAGCCTCTTAGTTTTCTTTTGCACCCAATCAGCATAGAAAGAACCAACATCTAAATGTATGGAGCACTCTTTTGAAAACAAGAAAGGTGTTCCATTCCATGGTCCTAGGGATCGATTCAATATGACAGTAACAAAGTTTATTTTTGACAGTGGCATTCTTTATGTGCCTATTTAGTAGTATCCTGCATGACACCATAGAAATGTCACCAGGGCGTGTGACGTCTGTGAATCCTAACATTTAATTGTTGATAGTGCTCCAAAAGATTTTCTAAATCAAAACTCAATCTTGAATTAATAATGGATTAATTGTATCAAAAGGCAAGTGATCGATAGAAAGATAATTAATTTAAATGGCCATGTTAGTAAAATTTACCCTTATCATAACAAAATGTTGGTGGCTACAGAAATCACTTTTATAAGAATGTGAAGAGAAACTTGCTCTTTTTCCTTAAATAATCTTGCACACGTTCCCCAGTAAGGAATAGATTAGACAGTCGTTGGATGTTTGTCAACTCTTCTTCCTTTCTTCCCTGTTCTTTACTCTGCTACTATTAATATCTACTTTTGTGATGATTATTTTTTGTTGACAATGCCTTCCAATTTTTTTCCAACAATGCAAGGATTATTTCTTTTGCCTCTAGAATATGACTCTGTCTTTCGACCGTTTAATTTGCTGATTTTTTATTATACTGATTTTTTAGTGTGAAATGTAGAATTCTGCTTATCCAAAAAAAACACAAATTATGTTTAAATTTAGCATATAGCGCAGCTTGCATGCCCATTCTGTTTTGTTAGTTTGTACATGTAATGCTTGATAAAAAAATGGTTTACCCCACTTATTTTGGTGAGAGATCGATACCAGACCGGCAATATACAAACGATAGACAGATAGGCAATATACAAACGATAGAAACGATAGACCAACAGAGAAATTACATTTTCCTGAAATGGCCAAGATTTATTGGTAACTGTTCTGTTTGGAGTATGTTTGATACTGTGATTGGGATATAACATCAAGATCATGTCCACACATAAATCATTGCCCTTTAACCAACATTATTTGGGTAAGCAGTAGTGCATAATCTTTAAACGAAAGAAAGTTGTTTTCATGATGATAATTTGTAAGAAAAGTCATTTCTAATTTTCACTTTAATGCTTGCATGCTTGCACCCTAAGCTATGTGTTCTGTGGAGCTTCACAATGTGTCACTTTAAGAAATCCTAAATGCATTCTACACCTCTGTTCGTTGAGCTCTGTGCCAACTATTTTGAACCGATTTTGCTCTACATTTGAGACATTTTCATAGAATGAGCTCATCTCCTTCATCACAAGGCATTGTAAATCATTTCTCTTTGTATCTAAGCACTCTTTACCTCTTTATTCTTCTATTCCTCTCTACTCATTTTTTGTTTCACCTCATGATCTCAGTCTGTATCTATTAGAAGGTAGAAATCTACAGATTATGTGCTACAAAGAAAACCAGATAATTATTAGTAGTGTTGATAGTATACCAGATTTTAATATGTGAGTATTGTAAATGAGAGTTTTTCTTTTTAAGATGGTTGCTTTATCTACATTCTATGTGTAATTAACTTTTTATGTTCTGTATAATTACATGTCTGGTATTAAAATGCAAACGAGTGTAAAACATCAATTTCTTTTGTCTCTTTCTTGTGTTTTGTGACCTTAGATGTATTTTCATCCTACTTTGAAAAATAAAGCATAGCTATAAATCAGGGCAACATTTCACAAAACTTGTCATCAGTGACAATTGACTGTTTTTTTTTCATAAGCTAGTGAAATCCTTGCTTCTGATTGGTTATGAGCAGATTTGTCACAGATTTTTTATGTTTGTCATTAAAAACAGGCTTCTTGAAATGGGTCCCTGGTCAATTCCAAATTTTACTGAATAACATTTCCAGAGAATTTTAAATTTTGAAAAAGGACATAATTGGGATTTTGATTAAAATATACAAATTAATGAAAAGAAGACTTGAGTGCATCTGGCCTCATCCAGGCAGATACTGAAGATCAGAAGGCTTGATGAAAGGCTTTAAGGGAGATAATCAGATTAAACATCCAACCCCAAAGCACAGAAAATCAGGATGCTAAACAATGAAGAAATTTGTATAATATAAAAAATTATATGAGGTACTAAAACAACAGAATTTCCTACCAGCCATCCGTCAAATTCCTAAGATATTGGAATGTAAATAGTTTTGTTGTGAAATGACTCAAAACCAATTTCTCAGTCATTCCTTAACATAAGTATATAAAATGTAGTATTTCATAAATTTGATGAAGGTTTACAGGAAACCAACATATTTTAAAAGTACCTGATATTAGTAAAAACATATTAAATCATTACTTTGTAGATTTGTATTAAAATATGTCTAATATTATTTATTCAAAACAATTCTCAGGAAAATTGATTTCGTTATGCTGGGATTTGGCCATAATAAAAACTATAAACATTGATATTTTATAAGCAAAATATCAACAGAAACTCTAGTGAGAAGAACATAAAAAGATGAAGATTGGGTAGTTCATCAAATAAAAATTGAATTGAATTTAATTGATAATGGTTTTATTGAGAATAAAAGAACAAC